TTCGTACTGAAGTTGCCTTGCACCACATTTTAAAAGCACAGTAACTCCATCCTATGCAGAGCTGGGGAGGACAATTAGGTGCAGAAAGGTCATCTGCCAACACATCTCTGTTAACCTCAGTTTTATGGTCCCGGCTTTATTCTGCTTTGGTAAGTCCCAAACATTTATGTTCTCGTTTGTTTTCCGCACTGCTGTCACAGTGTCAGCAGCAAACCCCTTTTTGTGGAACCATCTTTGGTCCCTGTGATACAAGTCAGGAGGAAACTGAAATAGGTGTTTCTTGACTGAACAGTAAGTTCAAAGATTTTCTACAAGTCTCTCTAGTTGGATGGAAGAAGGATTTGGCATGTGGACATGTAGACAGCCTTGATGTCTGATGGGCTGGAAAGAGCTGTCTACCTCTATACTTTCAGCTTCTCCACTGGCCAGATGCCCTGAAAGCCCTTCTCCGGGTGGGATGCACATCACAGATGGGAGTTGCAGTAGGTCCATGCCAGCAGTCCGCATTAACAGCCTCAGCAGTCCCTCAGGAGCCGGAGGAACAGGCGTTGGAGCGTGTGCTCTCTGTGCACCCCAACGAGTGGGTGCCAGTCCTGGGACTGGTGCCCCGTGGCGTTGGCACGAACCACAGGCCGTGGAGAGCAGCCAGTCAGTTCTCCCCTTGCCTGTCCACAAGCCCACAAACACTTTCCTCTTTTATTTCTGCATCAGCAGAATGCACCGTTGTTTCTATATGTTGGTGAGAGTATATGAATGCTGCCAAAATGTTTTTATTTTCAAGTAAGATGAAAATGGAGAAGGACTTGCTGGCCATTGCCATCGGCAGGGATGGGGCCCTGAGAGTTTTACTTGAGGTCAGCACAGAGTTATGGTTCATAAGTAAAAGTTTTACATTTTCAGGATCTGCTATTGACAAATAATCACTTTCTCTATTCCCTGTTTGTAAACAGGCAGTTAGTTGTGGTTTAATGTCCTGTGTGTGCAGAGAAGGAAACGTTGGCCAAATCCTGACCCCAGGATGGTTCAGATCACCCGCAGGACCCAGATGACAAGAACTTTGAAGGGTTTTCAAAGTCTTTACAATTTAAACCGTGTGTCTGAAACTGGCTCTGTGCTGTAGAGGTTAAATGTGTAGGGGTGATGCTGGTAGGTGAGAGCCGAGTGCTGGCTGGTACCTGCCTCTCCAGTGAATTTACAAATTTCTGCCTTTTGCCTCCTTTTGCATTCTCCATCTGGAAGGTCCTGTGTGTTTCACCACAGAACTTTGCAGGTCATCCTGCTGCTGCAATGAGGTGTTGTGGTTTATTGAAAATAGGTAATGTTCACATTTTAATGTGTTGGAGTTTTTTTCCAAACAGCTTTCATTGCGTGGTTGAAATGTTAAAATAATTGATATACTGATAAAATACTTCTAAAAGCTCATAATATTCAAATGCTGAGATTTCATTGCTCTATTCAAATAGGAGGTAAATTCCTGCTCTCCACAGTTTTATATATGTTCATGATCAATAAGTCCCACCTTGTCATAGCTCTCAATGTTATTATTTCATATGAAATGAAAAAACCTTGTTTGTGCCTGTTTTAAACATTTTGCCCTGGAGTTTTGCCTTGGCAGAAGCAAAATGTAAAATAATGCAGCCGTGGAGGGGTGGGTCAAATTGCCGTACATATTAAAATGGAGCTTTTGATCAGCTCCTTCAAGGGGCTGGTATGACTCCATTTATCTGAAGATCTCAGGGGACGCTCCAAACCTCCAGATAACTGGGGGCTTAGTTAATCAGGGCTGCCAGCTGTCCAGCTTTTCGCCAGGGTAGGGTTCAAGATCACAGCCCATCCTCTGCAGCCCCAGCAGCGGATTTGTGTCCCTGCAGCCCTCGAGCCCTGAGGCTTCTCTAGGAAAGGTGCACTTGGGCCTCCCTCATGGTCCTGCTGAGCCCAGAGCACTGCCCTGAGCTGGGATGGGGGTTTGCAGGTCTGTGGGTTGCATTTTTAAACCAGCAGTTTGTGTGGCACTCCATCTAAATGCAGCTTAGTGTTCAGGGCACCTGCCCAAAGCTCGCAGGAGCCGGGACACAAAGTCCAGGTTAGGGAGAGTCAGTTGTAAGGTGTGTAAGTCAGGGACATTTCGGGGCCAGCTCGTAGGCTGGAGGCGCACAGCACGTTTATGTGGTGCAGCTCTGACAGAAGTATGGCTCCAGGGATTATTGGGATGGACACGTTCCTGCTGAGGGACAAACAGGAAACTTCTTGAGGTTTTTTTTAACAGGATGGAGGTGTTTTTCAGAGGGTTCTTTACAGCTCGTTCATGTACATTCTTAAACTTCAGTAAAATTTTAGTTGGCTTTTTATTTTAGTGAATCCCAGCTTTTCTCCCCAGTCTGTGAATGTACTGAAACAGAGATGGCAGGGAGTTTAGTTTCATTTTCCTGCAGTCACTCAATTCTTTTTTGATTAAGCTGTAAGTAAAAATGAGCACGGGCATCTTGCTCACTGCCCTCATGGTGGGAGCTGCCGTGCTGCCTCCTGCTCCAGGGAGCCGGCCAGGGATACAGGGAGCACAGAGCCGAGGCAGGGCTGGGGAGTGGAGCTAGTGTGTGCAGCACTCGGCCTCCCCAGGACCCCCTGCTTTTGGCTTTTTAATCTGCAAGGGGGGCGCTGAATTGGGATCCTCCTCGCGTGCCTCTAGAGCCGCTGTGGATCTGCAGGGCTCTCCGGACCTTGGCATCAGCATGGCACACAGTGTGTTGTTCCTCAGCTGCCTCTCCTGGAGCTGCCCAGCTGTTTGGCCCAGGGGTTTTTCCCAGTCTTTTGTGTGGCGAGGGGCACCGTCCAGCTCATCAATAGGCATTTTCAGGGTGCAGAGCAAAGCCGGTCGGCGTGTCCTCGCTGTGTTTTTCCGTGTAGCACTTACCGAGGCGGCACAGCCTGCGGTGTGCCCGCGGTGGCCGCGTGTGCTGATGTGTGCGATGTGCGCGGCCGTTCATTACCCAGCAGGGCATTGTCAGGCAGAGCATGAAAAGCCTTTGCCGTCCCCCCGCCTGGTTTGCAGCGGCCCACGCGCAGCCCCGGCCGTGAATCGAGAGCTGCCGGCCGGCCCGCAGGCTCAGGTGGTCGTCAGCCCCCGGTGTCGCCGAGCCCTTTCAGCAATTTGTCACGCCTGGGTCTGCTCCCGCTGCGCCAGCACGTGCCAGCTCCGTGTCGGAGGGGCTGTGGGCCAGACGGCCGCGCAGCCCCCGCGTCCCGCTGTTCCCGGCCGGCGCTCGCCCGGCCCGCTCCGCACGGCCCTGGCAACAGCCGAGCGCCGAGGAATCAGCATCTCCATAATGAGAAGTGAATGGCATCCGTCAGTCCCTTTAGAATAGGGCCCAGGCGTGTGCCTCCTCTCCGAGCAAGTTTGGCAGCCTATTCATTAACAAGAGTCATCAGGAGTTCAGCCCATAATGGGGAGGCAGCCCCGCACGCCGCGGGCTGGCGCTGGCGCTGTCAGGAATGTGTTCTCCCGGGCTTCGGGGAAGGGAGGAAAACTGAGCAAATAACGCTGTCAGCAGGTGCAAACGCTGAAATGCTGGCTATTGATTTTCTTTCTCCAGGCTTCCACGGGAAGTTTGTAAGAAGATTTATCACATATCAATCGTCCTCTGCAAGCGTTAAAAGCAAAATTCTTCTTTTCTTTCTCTTTCTTTTGTTGCCACCACGCCTGCAGGAACTTGCATGCAATGAAGACGTGCTTTGCTTATTCCCCTCAAGGTCGACACTAGACCATCGTCTCCTGGCTCTAAGCACTGCTTTACTCTGATTTTTTTTTTTAATACTGTTTCAGAGTGGTTTTGTTAATGTACTGCAAGTTACAAATGGCACTTCAATATTAATTAGTAATGCTTTTCAATTCTAAATACCCTCACCTGCATTCTGTTGTCACTGGTGTTATTCTCCTGCTCCTAATTTCTAAATTCAGCTTGGCCTTTGCTCCCACTGAACAGCCTTGCAGAGCTCGAGTGCATTTCCCCGTAACAGAAGCACAATGAGGCACTGAAAACTTTTGTTTTCACTGAGGAAACGGAGAATGAGATGTCATCCTGGCTCCTGCGAGCCCTAATTCATAAAGTCATACGTGAGGCTCTCCAGCCCATTGTAGATTTGTCCCAAGCGTTATCCTGTTATTGGAAGTGTATGATTCACCTTCTGAGCAGACAGAAGCTGCACACAAAAGGGGAAGATTTGCTTTCTCCGCTGTGAAAGGCTGCCGCAAGCAGGGGTCCTATTAAGACAGCTGGAAAGTTGCTTCAGCTTGTTACGCTTGTAAGTTTTATTGGTGACTGGTTTTTGATTACACATTTGAATGCTGTGTGTTCCAGGTTGCCGAGTTTTAATTAAAAGGCAATAGTCTCCATGTTAGCTCGCTTTGTTGTCTGCATTATGCAGGCCATAATGCATGCAAGTTGTGGGCTGGGTTTGTCCAGTGTCCATCGTTTCTTTGGGATACATAGGGTTGCACCTTCCAGCACCTGCCCTAAATACAATTGTCATGCTTTCAGAATTGTGTTTATTGTGGTTAATTTCTTTTGAGAAGTCCAGTGATCAAATGAATGTGGGGGGTTGATCCCCTCTGTCCCATAGCTTGTTTCTCCAATCTAGTCACTTTTCTAGTCATTGGAACAGGAATATTGTGTGCCAGGGCTTCCCATAGTGCCACAGCCCGTCTGTGACGGTGGGTTCTGGTTTGGAAAGCTGCGGTCTGGGGGTTTGCTCCTGCCCTCGGCAGCTCCCGAGTCGCTGTTTCTGAGTCATGAAGCTCAGAGGTGTTACCCTGAATTTCCAGCCCTGAAGGGTGTCCTCTCCTCACTGCTCCCGTTCAGAACTGCTGGGCAGTTCTGGTCCCCCCGTTCCCTACCCATTGCAGCCTGGTCAGCGTGGATGTGGGGCTGAGGGGCTGGTGCTCAGGGACGCCGTGGGACAGCCTTCGGCTCTGCACACACGTTTCCTTAACGGGGCCACCGCAGCTACGAGGAGAGAGCTCTGTACCTCGAAGCCATCATCCAGAACCACAAAGAGGTGATGACGTTTGAGGATTTTGCCGCTCAGGTCTTTTCTCCCTCTCCCAGCTACTCCCTCGGTGGAACTGGTGAGTCTCTGCACGTTATTCTTCTCTGTAGCCCCAAGAAGCACTTGAGCAGCAGATGTACACCTGTTTTTTGTAGATAAATGCTTGCAAATTTAAGAAGACCATTCTTCCCCTGAATCAACTAATGAATATCAAAAGGAATGATGACATTCATTTTAATTTGTTTTGCATCAGAGCTATTCAGTCTGCTCCTTTCTTCAGCTATCCTGTTAACCCCCGACTCCGGCGAGGTTAATGAACTTTCTTGCAGTGATGGGCTCCAGCTCATTCAGGACTCCGGGTTCTTGCTGAGCTGGGAATATGTTGTTCAAAAGCGAGGTCTGAATTGGGGCTCACTTATCAAAAATAGTTCCTCGCAGGGGAAGCTGCTGCTAATGCTAAATGGGGATTATGCTGCTGAGCTACCAGGGTCAGGGATTAATGCACAAGAAACGCAGGAACGGGGTGCTGTTAGGGAATCACAGCGGCGGGCGGGATGCGGGCGCGTCCCTTCAATGCAGACAAGCACACTGCAGGCTGCCCTCCAGCACCTGGCCTGGAGCCTCTTTGGGGGCTTTAATGGATGTGTGGATATATGTGTGTGTGGGGGGGTGTATACACACACATCAGTGCTCATCATTCATCATCCCTCCTGAGAGGTGACAACGCAGTGCCAAACTCCGGGCATTTATTCCTCGTGTGCCCTGTGGAGATTTAGGTTAGTGTGTGGTCAGTGAGGTACGAATCGCTGCCTGGCTGGTTCATTGAGTTTAAGTGAACCTCTTCTGAAAGGGATCTTTTGCTCTGAAATGCAGATTTCTAGTGCCCTCAAGATGTGTTTTTTCCAGCCTCCAGAAAGTATCTCGTCACCGTGTGCTGGACTCTCTAACAAAGATTCCTTAATCCATTGTTGACACTCATAGGGTGACACAGGCACTTTCTAATCATTCCCTGCTTCTCTTTTGGATTGCTGAATAGATTATTTCCAACTTGTACAAACGTTGCGGGACATCTGCTCTATTTCTCTTTAGCCCGACTTGTTAGCAGATATCTTCCATCTAAACGAAACATTGAAGGAAGAAATTAAATTTGCTAGAATAAATCACTTAGGAATAAAACCAGCCGTGCAGCATTGTCTAGCGTTCCTGGCTCCGGTCCTGGCGCGCTCGGAGCTTTGTGAGGAGATAAGAGGGCTGTGCGGGCCGGGCAGTGGTGGCCAGGAGCAGCAGGCAGAAGGCTTTGGAGATAAGCGCTGGCAGGAGGGGAGGGAGCCGGGGCCATTTACATAATCGCGCCTCTGCGTCCTGGAGAGGCGTCAGGGAACACGGGATGGATCTATTGATCTCTGCTGAACTGGAATACTAAACAACGCTAGGAAAGCTTATAACTTAAAGCTTTGATTAATGTTTCCTACATTAAAAAGTAGAACAGCTGTGCATTAAATTCTTTTATACACTCTGCCAAAAGTCTGAGACAAAAAAATGGCCCGTTTCAATAGGAGCGCAGCGCGTGCCCAGGGTTGGTTGTTAGCACTTGAATCGTTTATCTGTTGACATATCAGCAAATAGAAACGTAGATATATTGATCTATTTTAAATGTTTTGCTCTGTGCATAACTGTGTCTCATTTTCATGTTTTTTAGAGCACGCAGTGCTCTGGTTGTGTACAAATGTGGTCTGACGGGGCAGATCCCTCGGCAGTGCCACTCTCTGAAGGCTGGGATATGCTGTGTGTGTGCCAGACCTGGTTAAAGTGTTTCCCAGTAGCTGAGGTTTTCAGAGCACTGTTAAATCATGAGTAGCCTGGATGTGGTTTTATAATTTCATTATTTTAATTGCTTTTAATTGTAAAACCTGCCCCAGTCAGGTCCCAGTTTTTGGACTTCTGAACCTCGGAATTAATTTCTCGCTCACGAACTGGAGGCTGGCCATGACTTCTGGTGTCAGAATCTCTGCTTCAGAGAGTCTCCTCACGTTACCTACTGATTCACCTGCATATTTAGTCAGTGATGAGCAAGGGCAGTGTCAGCCATGGCCATCGGGATGTGTTTTCCATCAGATGCTCCCTGGCAGTTGGAAGGGAGGCTGGATGCAGCCCTGGCAGCTCGGGAGCTGTTTCCCAGCACGCAGCCTGTGCCACAGGCAGGCAGTCCTGCTCCAGGCATAGACCCGCCTGTCTAACACCTGCAGGAATCACCTGTGTGCTGCTTAGGAACACGGATGGCATTTTTCTCCATGTAAAAAGGGAATTTCTATTCTGAAATCAGGGAGCAATAAATGAAAAAAAAAATTTCCCTGAGAAGGTAGTCAGGCACTGGCACAGGCTGCCCAGGAAGGTGCTGGAGTCACTGCCTCTAAAGGTGTTCAGAAGGTGTCTGAATGTGGCACTTGGGGACGTGGTTTAGGGGTGATGATGGTGGTGCTGGGTTGGTAGCTGGATTTGATGATCTTGAAGATCTCTCCCAGCCTTGATGTTTCTGTGGGATTCATGGAGCTGGCACAGGTGACAAGCCAGCTGGTGCTGCTAACCCTGCCGAGTGTAAACTCCTCAGGTAAATTTAAGATTAATTCTCATCTGATCTGATTCTTAATGCCACTCAAGTGTGGTCCTGTCAGCGCTGCGAATACACGTGTGCAGCAGAAAGGTCAAGGAGTAAGTGTGCTTTTTATTAAAATGAAGCTTGTTCTCAGTAGTCATAAGAAGAAATCAGGACCATTAAATGAATTGAACACGTAGCTCTCGCTGACACACATCACTGGGGTGTTGCTAACCATGATCTAATGATTTGAACTGCATGTTTTTGCATTTTCTGATGCTGCCCCGGGGGATGCATCCCCCAGACTCAGGTCGGATGTGGGTTTCCTGCCCTGGATTAGTCTCCCTGTCACCAACAGTCTGGCAGGTGCTGCATTTTCTGCAGGAAAATCATCCAGTTGATCTCCTTTGCTGTTTCCAGGCGCGGAGCCTTAAACTCCCCGCGCGGCTCACAGATAGCCCTGGCTATTGCGGGATCACAGATAGCCCTGGCTATTGCAGGATCACAGATAGCCCTGGTTATTGCAGGATCACAGATAGCCCTGGTTATTGCGGGATCACAGATAGCCCTGGCTATTGCAGGATCACAGATAGCCCTGGCTATTGCAGGATCACAGACAGCCCTGGCTATTGCAGGATCACAGATAGCCCTGGCTATTGCAGGATCACAGATAGCCCTGGCTATTGCAGGATCACAGATAGCCCTGGCTATTGCAGGATCACAGATAGCCCTGGCTATTGCAGGATCACAGATAGCCCTGGCTATTGCGGGATCACAGATAGCCCTGGCTATTGCGGGATCACAGATAGCCCTGGCTATTGCGGGATCACAGATAGCCCTGGCTATTGCGGGATCACAGATAGCCCTGGGCGGGATCACAGATAGCCCTGGCTATTGCGGGATCACAGATAGCCCTGGTTATTGCGGGATCACAGATAGCCCTGGCTATTGCAGGATCACAGATAGCCCTGGCTATTGCGGGATCACAGATAGCCCTGGTTATTGCGGGATCACAGATAGCCCTGGCTATTGCAGGATCACAGATAGCCCTGGTTATTGCGGGATCACAGATAGCCCTGGCTATCTTCAGCGCTGAAAGCAGCCGGGTAGGCAGAATGGCCATCCCTGAACTCATTTAGGGGATGTGCAGATTAGGAACAAAAGCTGGGAATACGGCCCTTTGTTGTTAAACTGGTGCATTACATGCTGTATTTTAATTAGGCTGGGTCTGAGAGGCAGCCCAGGAAATCCTCCATAATCCAACACTACTGAATTATTCTCATCCTTTCCCTCTGCAGATTTCTCTCCTTTTAGAGGATGGGCTTTAAGCTGCTGTTCTTGCTCCCTCAGCCAAAACCAGAAACAGTTATTCAACAAAACACTTGTGTGTCCTTTAAAAAAATGGTGAAGCTGAAGCGGGCACACACAGATAGAGCAGCGCCCCAACTTTGCCTCTGTGGCTCAAAGGGCTGCCTTGGGCTTGGGGGTTTTTTGGTGTAAGATCAGCAGCCAGAAGCGTTGTGTTATCCCTTAGGAAGTGGAAGTGGCCAGGTATTCCAGGGGAACTGCCTAATCATAGCTTGCCCACCATGGGAGGATTCTGTGCGAGGGGTTTGTGCTCGCAGGGCAGGTTTCTGTTTGAAGGGAGCCCCGGAGCTGCAGCGCTGCCGTTGGCACTCCAGGGGTTAATGGGAACGGGCACACTTGACTGCTGAGAGGACTGATCTAATCACTGCCATATCCAAGTGCATCTGTTCACCATGAGGTCATTCTTGTGCATGCTAATGACTTGGAAAATAAAGCACAATGCTCAACGTTATCAGGGAGGATATAGTGTAAATCTTGGCTTTTTTAGTTGCTAATGGATATTGTGGAATGGGCAAGCAAAGCATCCCGGATTCTTGTGTTCCAGCTTAATGTTTTTAAAGCATCCTTTTCAGTGGAGTGTCAGGAAAACTGTGCTGGAAAACTCAGACATGTGGTATCTGTTGATAAATGGATTCTTTAATGAATATTATGGCATTGCCCAGGAGCAACACTTGAGTTGAGGAACTATAGAGGTTTTCAGCATTCCCTGGTTTTAAAGCCTCGGGAGCCTGCCTGCTGATTTACATAAAACCGAGATTTTGCAGGCTTTTTGTTGTAAAGGTGACACATGCTTTTCTTTTGTCTCCAAGACTTTTACATGCATAAAGTTCCTGTAGTACAAGGAACCAGATCTGGTTTATTTTAAACCACTTTTTGGTCAGTGCTGAGCTTTATCTTTCCCACTTTAAAGCGAAAGGAATATTTCAATTTGACATCTAGATTTAAAATGTATTTTTGACAGAAACAAAACCAAACCCAGAGTAACTATTGCATTAACCAGACTGATGGTCCTTTGTAACGATGAGCCAGGATTCCTTTTGCTTTGGTGTGGTTTTTCTGGTTTTGTTTTTTACTTCTTTGGGTTTTTTGTGCTTTTATCTTTTTCCTTGAAAAAAGGTGTTTTCCTTGTAGGGTGTTTTGTCAGATCTGTGTACAGGTGGAACAAAAGTCTCTCTGGGTTCTGCATATATAATATTTCTGCCTGTTTTGGGGAATAGTAAAAAACCACACATCTGAAAGCGAGTAGCTGTGCCACGATAGCACAGCACGTGCGGCATGTGCCAAGGTCAGATTTGATCCATGTGTCAGTGTTGCCTGAAACGGAACAATTAATTTCTAGTACCTGGGACTCAGGAAATTCCCGACTGTCCTGGCTGCTCGGAGCCACGGCTCAGCTACTGCCGCCAGGAGAGGAGGCAGCGCTGGCACTGTCTGCCAGGGGCAGCTGTGGGCTCCATCCTCCGTGCCCAGCCCTCCCTGGTCTGGGACGGGTCCCTCGGATGTGGGAGGAAGGACAGGGAATTGAGTCGTTAGCACGGAGCCCGTGCTCAGCAGGTGAGATGGAACTCAGGTGCTGCCGTGGTGGAGGTTGTCCAGGCAGTGAACAAAGAGGAAAAGCTGAGGGAGGTGGAGCAGGGGAGCCAGAAGAGTTACCACAGGAGGCAGGATTTGGCTTTCTCTTCTCCTCCTTCCCTGTGAGTATTCAGGAGGAGGTGCAGGGACCTGTCTGGCTTTCCCTCTCTGTTTAATCCAGGTAGCTCCACATCCTGAGCAGACTGGAGCCTCTGTCCCAGCCGCTGCTGGGCTGCCCTCGGGGGCAGATTCGGGAGCTGCTCCTTGCCCCTGTGCTCTCTGTTACCAGCGTTCCCTCTGTGGCTTTCCTGCCCTCATCCACAGAGCTGCCACCTTAGTGTCCCTGTGAGGGGCAGGAATGGTCTGGCATTAAACAGAGCAGTGTCACAAGTTACCACGAATTGTTGGGGCAGCAGCTCTGTCCCCCCGTAGCTCCTGTGGCTGAACAGGCCTGGCTCTGGAGGGTCTGGATCCCTGCAGAGCCCTAGGGAAGTTGCATCCTTCCTTTGCAGCTCCCTGCAAAGCAGCGGCCGCCTGCTCTGGGCACAGGGGTCATTTTCCCTGTGCCGACCTGTCCCCGAGGCAGGGCAGGTGCTGGGGCTGCTTCTCCCTCAAGCCTGGCGTTCCCTCGGGATCTCCAGCAGGGAAGGGGCACATTAGGGCTCTCAGCCTGGGCCCCTGCCTTTTCCATGTAATTGATTGGCTCAGAGGGAGCTCCCCCAGCTACGATCTCCGGGAGAGGAGGCAGAGAGAGAGGGTTTCTCCAAGCAATCAGTGCTGGGATGGGAGAAAATATGAGCTTGACAGGCCCATCTCTCCTGCTGGGTGACAGCTCCAGCTGCTCGAGCTGTCAGCTCAGAGAAGGCTCCGGGCAATGTGGCCCCTTTGCATTTTCCCTCTGCACTGAGGCACTGGCTTGGTGGCCATGGAGAGCCAGAGCAGAGCTGGAGCAGAGCTGGAGCAGAGCTGTCCTGTGGCCGTGGGCCAGGGGCTTGGGCTGCCCCACCTGTGACACCCCCAAAACCCCCAACGCTCCCCCTGGCTGAAGTTGAGGCCAATCCGTGCAGAACTAATTAGCGGCTGCTCCAAGTCCTGACTAATTGAACTTCGATGTGTACATTTAGGGTTTATTTCCAAATCCCTCAAACCGTCAAGGCTGGGCCTGTGACAGTGCCAGGCACTCCCTCCTGGAAACTGTGAATGCTATTTTAGGGGTGATTCTGCCCCTGATTAACCTGTAGTTTGAGATTCTCTTACTGCTTCACTTAGAGCTTTCCAAGGCACTGCAGGACGTGTTTGATTAGCACAGCCACTGCTTCAGTTATCGATGACTTCTTCCACGCAGGCTCAGGATGCTGCTTACAGTGTACTTTGAGCCTGTCCTTGGAAGTGGGAAGCAGGAACACTGGGCAGATTTACTACAGTGATTCTCTCTGGAATTTTCTGACCTTCACATTTACTAGGAAGGAAAACAAAGATTTCCAGAGCCCTGTCCTGGCTGACAGGTTAATGGGGGGCTGGAACAGGTCACAGCCCATGTGACAACTTCATGGGTCTTCTCAAATACAAGGCTTCGGGATCCTTACAGGTCATGGAGACCCACCCTTGCTTTCAGAGGTGTTCAGCTACTTCAGGAGGAGAGAAATGGCTGAAAGGTCATTCCTAGAGCACCTACCCTGGCAAGGCAGGGCATGAGAAATGAGGTTTGTTCTCTCTGGTGGATTTGAGATGCAATAAGCCATTTCTCTCTAGTTTCCCACAAAACAATTTCATTTAAAGTGTGTTTTTATCTATATTCCTAACTCTATTTCTAATCCCCTCCTGCAAAGAACTTATTTTAAAATCTTAAGCCTCCCTCACCAGGCCTCACCTGTAAGAGACCCTACACTGCTCATTTCCTGGGTTTTTAACCTGCCTGCAGTGTCCCAGTGGTTTAGGTCTCTGTGAAGCCTCAAATCTTACACAGTTTGAAATGGTGTGACCAGCAACGGTGCTGGAGGTGGAGCCGAGGCAGCTGCACCCACCGTCCCATGGCAGCTCGTTTGGCAAAAGCTGAAGTGCAATGGTTATTCATTCCCATTTTTGCCAGCATTCCCTCCCTTGACTGTTTCAATCCACAGACCCGAGAAGGAAGCGTGTGGGTCCCCGTTTCTCCAGGTCCCCGAGGGCTGAGGGGAACTCTCCTTCCTGAGCTGCCCTTCTGCCGGTGCCCAGCGTGTGCCGGTGTGTGCCGTGCCAGGCTGCCGTTGGCGCAGCGGGTCCCGGGTGTGCTGCTCCTGCACTGACACGGTTTTGTGTTCTCTCCCTTTAGATTAGAGTGTGTAACGCTCTCGTTAATGGCCGCAGGTAAGAGCGACGCTTCCCGCAGGCCCCTCTGCTGCTGCCGCTGTGCTTCACCTCTGACAGCTCTCCTCCTCCTCCTCCTCTTCCTCCTCTGCTCAGCGTGCGGCCGGGGTGGCTCTGGGCCCCTCTGGCTCTGTCTCTGGCTGTCCCTGCCCGCTCTGGCTCTGCGCGCCCCGAGCCCCGCGTGGGCCCCGCTGCCGGGCACAGGGACACGGGCACTGAGGGAAGGGCCTGGTGGTGTGTGTGACCAGGGATGGGACAGCCACGGGCACTGAGCCAGGAGCCACGCTGGCCACTGTCCCCAGTGCCCACAGAGCTGTGTGGGGCTGCCCCTGCCACCATGTTCACCCGTGCGACAGGCAGGGAGCAGCTGCCGGGCAGCTTTTTTCTCTCTGTGTAAATTCCACTTGTTTGGATGAGTTCTGAATTTTAAGGGCTCCACTGGTCCATGAGAGTCAGAAACTGGTGTTTGTGGTTTCCTTATCATTTACTATTTTGTATTTACAAGCTGCTGTTTGGTTTTCACTGCTGGTAATTTCACATTGCCCAGGCACACTCCCAAACAAACAACAGTGAGGGAGCAAACACCCTCCTCCATAGCACAGGAGCATCCCAACCCCAAGCCACCACCGACCATGGGCGCAGCCGAGCACGCAGAGCCCCCTCTCCGACTCCGCAGCTCCCCTGGCAAGGCGGCCAAGTCATTAGAGCCTGTGCCAGCCTGCCTACGAGGGGAATGGGAACACTGGGTATGGGAGCCTTTCTCCAGGCGGTTGTCACTTGCTCACTGCGCAGCTGCCACCTCCCCATCAGTCACGGCGCTTTCAGGGAGCTGCAAGGTGGGCTGCAGAGCTCGGGACGTGCCAGAAGGAAGCTGGGACTGTCGGAATGCTCCGGCTCCAAGGCGGATGTGCTGCGGGTGCTCCTGGCCTAGGTGTGCCTGGCCACAGCCCCACCTGCCCCCTTGTCACAGGCATCAGCCATTGTTCAGCCCTCACATGAGCGTTGCTTCAGCTCGTCCATTTGGGGAAAACAGCACTATTTTGACCATCTGCCATTCTGCCACACTGCAGGAATGTCAAGTACGACACCTCCCTCGCAGCCCTTCCCTCCCCCACACTTTTCTCCCCAGCCAGCAGCACCACAGGTTTTGTTTTTAATCCAAAACTGACAGCTCCGAATTTTTCACAGAAAATGCCTTTACAGGCTAAGTCACATTTTCCACCTTTTTAAAATGTGCTATTTCCCCTCAGTCAGTTGTGTGGAAGTACCAATCTGGTAAGTAATGGCTGTCTTTGAGATGCAGACGGGGGCTGTAGGCTGGCTGAGGGGGCTCACACTTTGGGTTTGGCTGCTGCTGTTGCACTCCTGCTTTGAGTCGCTCAAATAACCCAGAGCTGCTGAAGCAGAACAGGTCACCCCTCGTGTTGAAAGCGCAGCAGAGCCCCCGTGGGTCTTTGTCCTGGGACAGGGGCAGGGCTCATCCTGCCACCGCACTGACCCGCGGCCTCATCCCCACCTGTCCAGGAGGGCAAGGCTTGCCCTGCTCACCTGTGCCCGAGGGGCAGCTCAGCCAAGGCCCTGCCCAGGCTTTGGGGTGTTTTGTGCATGTCTGGGAGTCACCCGGGCTAGGAAAGGTGAGGGGAGGATTAAAGAGCCCTGGACTGGCCAGGCACAGGAACTAACAGCAAATAAAGGCACAGGCAGAGAACGGAGCCAGGTGTTGAACTGGAAATAGGTCTGTGCTGCCAAACACAACCATCCCCCTGGAGTTCAGAGGGAGTGGCACCGGCACTGGCCTTTGGTGTGGGCTTAGAGCCTCCCTTCACCCTCCTCACCTGGCTGCAAGGCTGTTCTTCCCTCCCACCTGTAGGAAAAAACTTGTGTTTACACTTCGGGAGAGAATTGCAACACGGTTTAAAAATACTGTTCCCCAAGGGAGCTGATGAAATGGTGTTCCTCTGGGAAGCACCTTGGGACAGGTCAGACCCCCAGCAGCAGGAGCAGGCAGGGTGTGTCCCTGGGAGCAGCTGCACCTGGCTTTGGTCATTTGTGTCTCAGTTAAAGGCCCTGTGTTCACCTGCTCCCACTCAGCCAGCCCGAGCCTCTGGTTGTACTGGCCTATGGGGAATAAATGAGGTGGAACTCCAGACTGTAGAACAACAAAGTGTAACCCCAGGTGACACCCCGTAGCCCCCAGGCTCCCAGAGACCCTTCTAGGGTGAGCCACCAGTAATGAGGGTACCTGGTGTCCTGTCACGGAGTGAAATTGGAAGAAATTGTGATTCTTTAGGGCTTTTTTATCAGAGACACCAGACATCTTCCAGGAGTTTTGTGCGAGTCCTCATGCTGGGGAAGCTCGTTTCCAGCTCCCTGTAACAGACTGAATACACAAGAGCTGCTTAGTGACACACAGCAAAAAACAATTTTATATCATCCACACAGAACTATTGTATGTGGGTTTGCTGGAGCTTCAAGTGAGCAGGATGGGAGTATCCTCCCCCCGTCCCATGGGGCTGCTGCAGCACTGGGAGCCATTGGGGGCTGTGCAGACCCAAAGGGGCTGGTGCCGGGGGCCTCAGCGCTCACCTGGGCACTGAGGCCTGTCACAGCCTGGCTGCTCCTCACTGATTTCTCCAGGAAGTGCAGTATATAGCAGTTCCTCAGGTGCCTGGCCAAATTCCTCCTGTAAATGTCAGGTTCACCTGAGTGATGCCGAGGAGGAACTGGGAAGAGGGGAGGGGCTGTGCCATGCGGTTATTCCAAGGCACACAGGCTCTTTTGTCCTGACCTGGTTTTTCCCTGCCCGCTCTGTGTTCCAGGCTGCCTCACCACAAGTGCAAGCGCTGACCTCACTGTCACCATCGGCATCGAGCTGGCGGAGCCGCCCTCGCCCACGCTGCCACGTGCCTCCAGGAGCAGAGTCTCCGGGAAGCTCCGCCGCTCCGCCAGCGCTCTCAGCAAGGCTTCCAGCTGAGCTCCGGGACACAGAGCTCCGGCCAGGGGAGCGACGGAACGGGCACTTTGGGGGGAGCTCGTCTGGAAGGGGATGGACGAGGGCTTTGCTCTGTAAAACTGCTGTTCCCTGACCGGGACAGAGGTAGCTGGTGATCAGGTGCTGTCACTGGCTGAGCAAGGGCCCCAAGCCCCTGGGCACAGGCACTGGCACCACAGCTACGGGTCATGAACCAGCACTGAAGCCAGTTATCCAGTGTACCCTTAGAGCATCGCTTTAGTCATTCCATGCAGCACTTACCTGTGCATTAGGGAATTCTGTCTAAATAGAGGTTTTCCTGTGACTAGCCAGGTAGCACATGTTCCCCTTGGGAGCACAGGTGGAAGAGGGAGCAGCTCTCCAGTCTGTGCTGTCCCTGCTCTCCCTGTGCTGTCCCACTGCAGGAGCACTGTGGCCCCTCCATGGCATGTGACGGCTGCACACTGAACCACTCCCTAGAACACAAAAGCCACACTCCTGCCACGACCCTCCCCAGCACAGAGTGAAGAACTGGGTAACCCCTTCACTGTGTCCCAGCAGGGCAGCAGGCTGTGACCCACCTCTAGCCAGAGGACAGCACATCTGAAGGCTTTTGAGGACGTGCAGTGTCCTCCTGGCACCTGGTGTAGTGAGCAGAGCTCATGTTGTCAGTAGGTGATGTGTTTCGGTCTCCACGTGTGGTAGGTTTCTAGGGGTGACAATTTTTGTAGGTAAATCCCCAGTGTTATAAAAACAACAAAAATCTGAGATCTCACAGCCACAGATCCATGTCCTGCTGGTGTTCGGTCGCTCCTGGATACTCCCACGCACACCTCCCAATGAAATGGGAGTTGCTTTAAGTGAAGGGATTGCATTTTTGGGAAATGCCCCACTGGGCATTTGTTTTTGCACTTGTACCTGGTGTTACGTCTGTCTGTCCGTCTGCCAGCCCGGGACCACGCTGTGCACGCAGGACGCTGTTCCAGCCACAGCCAGTGGTGCCCAGGTGGCTCCATGCTCCGCTGTGGGATCTGTGCCCAGGCCCCAGTGCCCCGGGAGCAGGAGCCAGAACCAGTGGAGCTGACAGGAACCCACCCAACACAGCTGCGGGAAGGAGCCTCCGTCACTCAGGGCTTGGATGGCTGGTTTGATTTTCTGCCTCACATTTGGGTTTTGCTTTCTACTGTTTTTGTGTTGTTGAAGGAACTTAGAAAATAAAAGGTGTATTTTAATTTATTTTACTTTCAGGGCTGGACAGGCAGGGCTGTCTGACCCTTAGTTATCCAATAGCTGGTCTGAAACAATTTCAAAGGCATCCTTCTGAGTAAGGAGCCATTTCTTGTTAGAGCAATATGCATCTCTAATTCAGGGAGAAATTAAAACACTGATGAAATAGTGTTTTCCTGATGTCAAAAGCCTATTAATTTGTATAAACTCAGCTGTGGTTTTGCACCCTGATGTGGATGACAAAGCCGCTCTGTTGCCCCTCACAAACTTAATAAATCTTTGCTCACAATAAATGTCCCCACAGAGCAATAGAAGGGCTTACCTGGGTGGTGGGTGGGAGGTGTTGGGTCCGGTCTGGCGCTCAGCTCTGCCTCTGGGGAGGGGGTGGTGGCTCTCGACCCTGCTGCTGCTGAGTGGAGCTGCCTGGGCCCGTGGGTGTGCAGGGCTGGCTCACACGGAGCAGGAAGGGTCACTGCGGGACACGGCGCGGTGACGGCGGCACCGGCACAAACTCTGCCGTCCCTCAGCACTGAGGCCGCGGCTGCAGGACTGGCTGCCCGGTGTGGAACCAGCAACGGCGTTTCCAGGCTCGAGTGCTCGTGGGGTGTTCGTGTCACACCGTGACTGACACAGGCACTGGACACGGTCACACCCCCGCTCACCCCACAGGGTGCCGTTTGCACCAGCAGCAGTGCCACTTGCCACCCCTGCAGGGTGGGCACCTCCTGCCAGCCTGGCCCTTCCCACGGCGCTGAGGGGGCTCAGTGGTTGCTGAGCACAATGATCGACCCTCGGGGACCCTCAGAGGCCACTGTCCATAACCTGTTTCCCTGCAATCCCCTGTGGCCCAGCCACGTGCATCAGCATTAAAAACAAGATGTTTCTAATGGTGATTTTCTATTCTATTGAGATATTCCTTAAGGAAATGCAGGGGGCTGCACATGCAGTGTCAGAAAAGACACTTGGAACTCTCTGTTCCTTTGCTGAAGAGAGACAACAAAGTTCTCTCCTCAATTGCTTTCAGGTGCTCTCGTCAGAAATGTAGAGTCACTGCAGCTGGCTCCAGATGAGGCAGATTGCAGAAATAACTGTCCTTGGGAACACGGCTTCCACCCACCTTTGCTGAGGAGGATCCCTGTCCCAGGCCCAGCACCTGCCACCCTCCTGTGGAACTGGAGAGGAGGCGGGAGCCGGACACGGGGTCACAGTGCTCACTCACTGCACTGGCATCCCTGGGCCGGGCGGTGCCTGTGCACCCCAGGATGGGGGCTGGCACAGCCGTGGGGACCCATCCCCTGTCAGCAGGTGGGCACAGGGTGGGCACGGAGCCAGCCCAGCACAGCACGGGGCAGGAACACGGGGCCAAGGCACCCCCAGCCCCACCAGCTGCGGCAGCAGGCACAAAAATGACAATAATAATTATGAAAATAAAAAATAAAATACTATATAACTGGTTTATACTTACTGTGGGATCGCAGAATGGTTTGGGCGGGAAGGGACCTTAAAGCCCATTCCATTCCACTCCCTGCCATGGGCAGGGACACCTTCCACCAGGTTGCTTCAACCTGACCTTGGACACTTGTAGGGATGGGGCAGCCACAGCTTCTCTGGGCAACCTGTGCCAGGACACCTCCCCATCCTCGCAGCCAAGAATTTCCTCACAATATCCCATCTAAATCCACTCTTTTCCAGCCTTAGGAGGATGCCTACCATGTTCATGTGTATTATCTTATTTCTACATCTGTTAATGTGCTCTCTCTATATATAACATGTTATGTATCTCATGATCTGTTATGTGCTATAGTATGTTTAATTATATATCTAACATTTTACATTGTGTATGTCTATATGTTTAAACTGGATAGTGTATATATTATAGCTAGCAAATACACACAGATACAATGTGTATATGTTATTACATTAAGCATAATACGTGCAATCTATAACCTTCGTATAATACAAGTTATGTAATGTGATATGCATTATATAACATACAATGTATTATACCATATATGCACTGTATATTTTATCTTATTAAGACTTGTTTTAGAATATTGATATTCAATATAAATTTAACAATTTTATCAAACTAGGGGGTTCAGGTTACGTACATACAACATATTACATATACATTATATATGCATATATCTATATATGCACACATCCCTGGCATATAACGTAGCTCTATGTACATAGCACTACATAAACTACAACATTACTATACGAACCGTAATATTGTGTGCATATATATGTACATTCTAAATAACAGCATACTGCATAAGAAAATTGTGTAAATCACATCAGCAACATGTGAATCCTATATAACACTCCATAAAGAACGTGTAATATAATACACGATACAATATTTTGCACACATATAATGTGCATCACGGAATATTCAATGCACTATGTACATACAATAAATAATACTATTTTAGGTCATGTCTGACATGCAGGTATGGTGCATATGCCAGCTGTGCACATGTATGCACCTGCACACCCCCCGTGCACTGTGCAGTGCACTCTGTCCTCCACAGCACACAGCCCGTGGCTGCAGAGCTCAGAAAGCATTCTGTGAGACAGTGGTGTTTCACTACAGCAATACTGGCAACGTACCACTAATTATCTGTAATGCATATGTGATATTATGTACTGGACATAATGTTTTCTAATATGCATTGTCTGATAGACAACATAAACCAGACATTATATATCAGTATATGTTGTATAATATAATATGCATTGATATAATGTGTGTAATATACACTGGACTACATATTCTGAAGTATACCTTTACAGATTATAGGATATACTGCTATAAAAGGAATATATTATTTATATTTACTTTATCACAGAATCTCTGATTCTGAAGGGACCTTAAAGCCCATCTTGTTCCACTCCCTTGCCATGGGCAGGGACACCTTCTGCTAGACCTGGTTGCTCCAAGCCCCATCCAACCTGGCCCAGAATATTTCCATGGATGGGGCAAATGTAAAATATAATGTATTGTATGTAATAAATTCTGAATTTCTTCTGTGTGCATATAACTAAACAAAAACCTCCTAGCTCAGCCCCCCAGTTGTACAGCATTTTCCTCACATTTGTCTTTGCACTGGTGTTGCAATACAGGCAATTTAGTAAGAAAAACTGTAAAATGAGATAATAAAACAACACCGTGGTCCCGTACCCTGAGGAAGCAGAACCTGTTCTGATCTTCAGCCAAGCCATGTCCCTTCTCTCCCCTGGCCCTGGCCCAGCACCCCCTGCAGCACCGGCAGAGCCTCTGCTCTGCTTTAAATCCTCCCTGTCAGTCACCTTCCCTGGGCCCTAAAAAAGGCTGGCAAGCCTCAGTCGGGCGTGGGAATGGGCCGGGCTGTACGCACCCTCACCTTCAGAGCTGCAAAGGGGCTTTATTAGTGCTTGAAAAGAGACATTCTTTTCCAAGAGGAACAGGGGATTTAACCAGCCCTGGCTGTTGGGAATAACGTCCCCGTTACCGTGTTGGGAGGGCGTGCTCCGAGGAAGGGTCGCAGCTCCCAACGCCGCCGATGCTGAAGTGCCCAGCTCTGCCCAGCCCAGCTCTGCCCAGCCTCGCTGCCTCGCTGCCTGCACGGGGGAGAAGGGCACAGTCAGAGCAGCGCTGGCTGTGCCCTGGCCCTGCAGCCCAGCACTTGGATTCAGGAACGGTTTGTAAGGACCAAGCCCGCAGGTGCCCGGAGCCGGTATCACAGGACAGCCTGGCATGTCCATCTCTCTGATTAAGGTACCAAATGTTGCCAGAGGCAGACCTTTGTTATGTGGATTGTAAACTAAATTTAATTAAGACCATTTAAAGCCCTGATGAGGCTTTTTATCTGCATGGAAGGATCTGAGGTGTTTAAATGCAATATGCAGGACGCACCCACATGCCCGGGTCTTTCACCCAAGGGGAGCTCGCCAGGGTACCTCAGGAAGCTCCTGTCCCATCCAGCCCAAAGCACCAACACCCCCAAAGCACCCCATGGCACCTGATGGCACCACATGCCCTGCAGCGAATGGGCAGAAACACCTGTGACTCCATGAGCCATTTCCCAGCTCATTAATGGCGACACATGTTTTTAAACATTTTGTGTGAGAAAGAGGTTTGAAGCCCAAGGCAAAAGCCCAACCCGGTCCTGTTTCTGGGCTCGCCTCAAAGCCCGGACACCTCCCAACCGCCCACCCAAGAAACAGACAGGGAGGTGCAGGGCAGGACCCCTCAAAACCTTGGGTCGTGCCCAACTATGTTTCCCAGGGAGTCCTTCCAGCAATGCAGCTGACGGATGCCCCACTGCGCTGATGGCTGTGAGGGACTGGGGCGTTGGTACTAAAAATTGCTAAAAACCTACAGTGGACAAGCAGGCTGCGGAGGCTCCTCCCCTGCAGGGGGGAGCAGCTCGCCCCAGCTCCTCACCAGCTCCATGCCCATGGGGCAGGACAGAGTCCATGCTGCATTTCTCAGGACCCTGCAGGTTCCTGTAATAACCTCCCTGGCTCCTTTCCGTGTGCTCACAATCCATTCCAGACCAGCATTTGGCTCCAGTGTGCTCGGAGAGGAGGAAGGCTCCGGTGGTGTGTGCACCGGGCAGAGCCCTCTGTCCGTTTGCACAGAGTGAGCAACCCACGCACCAGCTGCCTCCACCACGACACATCTGGGGCAAGATCAGTGTTTTCCGTGGTGCCCAAACCTGTTCCTGTTGGAGGCATGGAGAGCCATCAGCAATTGATCTGTTAGCTGACAGCAGGAGGCTTTGTTTGCACAGCAGTGGCTGCCCGTGCTGCTGGATGGCAAGGATATGGCACCCACCAGGCCACACCTGCATTCCCAGGAGCTGCCGTGAGCAGCGCTGGGTGAGCTCCGGGTCCTGCCACGGCACTGGGCTCCCAGTGTAGCCACCGAGCTACAGGTGGGCTTAGGGGTCTCATGGGCACAGAGGAGGAGGCAGAGCTGAGCCCACTAGAGGTCCAGTGCTGCGGGCCTGGGCAGTGGGGATGGCACAAGGGAGGAGCTGGTGAGGGGTAGGGACAGACCCCTCCCCAAAATACTGCCCAAGGGAGGCTTGTGTGAGCAGGTGGCTTTGTGACCTGTCGTGGTGGCGCGATGCCCTTCACTATCAGAGGGGCAAGAGACACAAAATGGTGATGCCGATGGCTCCCTGTAAAACCCCCCGGGCAGTCGGTGCTCACCCTCACAAGGACCCTCTCCAAAAACCCCCCGGGCAGTCGGTGCTCACCCTCACAAGGACCCTCTCCAAAAACCCCCCGGGCAGTCGGTGCTCACCCTCACAAGGACCCGGCAGTGCAGGCAGGGGAGAAGGGCTGCAGACATAAAGGCTCAGTAGCTCTGCCCAGGCTGCTGCAGCCCAGTGACGCCAAAAGCACATTCCACCCTTTTTACAGGATGACTGTGAACGGAGCCATTTCCAAAGTACTCCACTGTCACCTCCCCTTACGCCTCCCCAACACAGAATCTCCACTGATCACGCTTTCCACTGCAATCCTCAGCAGAAGCTATAACACATCATTGGTGCCAATGGTTACCAAGACAGTTCTACAAACCTGGGAAATTCTTCTGGCCCCAACAAATTTTAACTGATTCCTACGGGGACAGACATGGATTACTTGGATTAGGAAATGGACATCGGTATGAAGCTGTTGTTTTGTGGCCTGCTGGTGCCACAGGCTTCGAGCATGGATTTCATCAGGAACAGTGCTGTGATGGCGTGGATGGAGCTCTGGGGTGAGGATGCACTGGGCATTGCTCTAGAAAGTGTCCAGTGGCCCAAGAGGACAGTCACGTGTGCTGGCAAAGTCCCCTTGGGGAGCAGAGAGCCCAGCCCACGGACAGCTGCGACACCGTCTGCGACAGCCCAGGATCTGGGGCTTTCTGAGGCCAGGGAAGCCAGGAAAAGCAAAACCACACCTCTTGCCAGGCATGTTTTGCTGCCTGTGTTTCTCGGGCCATGGTCTTTTCTAGTATATCAATCTACAGCTAAAACCATAGCTATGCCGAGGCCTGAAGTCAGCCCTGGCATAACCAAGTTGGTTTCCTAGGAATCAAGACAGCAGGAGTGTACCTGCACTGGTGCTGTTTAGCCTGACTGAACAAGAAAAAAAAAAAATCTTTCTCTAGAAAGACTTTCTTTCTCTACAAGCTTTGCCATATCAAAAAATACCCAGACGATTCCTGGGAAATTTCCCTACAGGAAGCTCCTTTCCCACAGTGAATCAGCCGAGTCTCAGGCAGGAGCCTTTAGGTGAGAGAAGATGGCAGGAACAGGTTGGAAACCTCTTCCTGTGAGCCAAAGCCTCAAAGGTGTTGCCATCCCAGAGACGGAGCAGCCCCAAGGCCCATGCTGAGCCCCTGCAGCTGCTCAGCCCTTCACACACCAGTCTGGGAGCAGGGATTTGCTGGGGCTGCCAAGCAGAACCACACACCAAGCAGAACCACACACCATGGAGTTGGCTCCATGGCTTCTCCTGCTGGCAAAGGGGGAGATTGTACAGGTGCACTGCAACGGCTGCCTGGGAGAGGGGTGTCACAGACCCAGCACACACCTTCCCCACTTACACAGGTACTACAACACTTTTCACTAACAAACTTACGGAACTACATTTTGACCAAACCCCTGCGATTCCCACATACAGACACAAGCCCTGAAGAGCTACCTATATATATACGCTTGTTGAAGGATGCTGCAGAAATCCCACAGCAGGGCCGAGGGACAGGCAGGAGCAGACTCCAGCCCTGCCAGGAGGCACGCAGACGCCTGGCATTCCATGTGCCAGGTTTCACAGCCCACAGCCAAAGCAGGATGCCACTGCTCCACCGAGCCCCTGAACCCCACACCGCGGTGCTGAGCACATGGGGCAGCCACCCAGCACACAGCACGGCTCTCCCAGGCAAGGATATCTCCAAGTTCTCCACTCATAAGTGCTGCCCTTCCTCGAGTTCTCCCTGCAACACCTTCCAGAGGAGGTCCCTGGCAGCTCCTCCCTGGCTGTCCCCAGCAGCAGAGCACGGGGCTGGCTGTGCCCGGTGCCAGTTGTGACAGGGGCAGGGCTGGGGCTGCAGCCCACAGCCAGGGCACCCCTTGCTCAGCAGGGCAGCCTTCCCAGGGCGGCCACACCGCACCCTGCTCTCCTCCTCCCGGTAATTCCTTTTTAATTAATCTCATCAAACGGTGCGGAGCAGGCTGGTGCGACGGAGGCTCCCTGACGGAGGCTCCCTGCCAGCTGCACTGCGGGGCTGGGTCCCAGCCCCCCGAGCCCTCAGGGCCAGCCCGGCAGGGAGAAGCAGGAGGGGTGGGGGCACGCTTGAATTTGAAAATATTTTATTTGAATAGTAAATAATTATACAGTTGAAACAGTTCTATCGAAGCACTCTATAAATAGCTAACAGTTAAGAAAATAATGTGTGTAGAAAAAGAGATTGCATCTAAAAGTAAGAGCTGTTGGTTGCACGGGATAAAATGGTTAAGATCATGTGTTATTCTAGGTATAAAAGTTAAAACCTTTTTAGCAGATCCCTTTAGAAAAAAAGATCTTCTAAAACGCACAGTGAAATGGCAGGCGGGGAGACAAAAAAAGCACATTAGAATATCTGCAATCAAATAATATCAATCTTCATAATTAATATAAATAAATAACGAATAAATAACATAATTACTCAAACCAACATATACAGATAGTCAACTCATGAGCTACCTTAGTAAGGGCAAAACAAACAGAAACAGAAAGTTGGCATGTCACAGTTAAGGCAGTTTCTACAGCATTTTCTGGAGACCATCAACAGCAGAGTCAAGGCATTTGTGGCTACACTAAAGGAAAGGCTCGATTCTCTCGAGCAGTTTGATCTGTTCACATCGATAAAAACCGGAGTGAAGGAACAAAATTAAAAAAAAAATAATTAAAAAGAAAAAAAAAAGGGAAAAAAAAAAAAAAGGGAAAAAAAAAAAAAAAAAAAAAGAGACCCCGGGAAGGTAAGTGTAAAGCCAGATTCCAGCAGGTCGCAAGCCGTATTAAAGCTAATCGTGTGGCGGCCCCGGGGGAGCGGCGCGGGGCCGGCGGGGAAGGCACGGGCGGCTCAGCAGGCGGGACGCAGCGGCACCTGGAGCAGGATGACCTGCCGGTTCTCCGAGGGGTGGCACTTGTTGATGTGCCGGGTGAGGCCGGGCGAGCTGTAGAAGGTGGCCGGGCAGTACTTGCAGGGGAAGACCTGGGCGGCGTGGAGGAGGCGCAGGTGCCGCTCCTGGCTGCTCTTGCTGGGGAAGGTCTCCCCGCAGACGGGGCAGAGGCGGCACTCGGCGGCGGGCGGCTCCTCGGCAGCGGGCTCCGGGGCGGGCGCGGGTGCCGGTGCGGGTGCCGGTGCGGATGCGGGGGCCGGGGCGGTGTGCCCCAGCAGGTGCTTGCGCAGGTAGGCTTGCCGGCGGAACCGCTTGGAGCAGCGGGGGCACTCGAAGAGCCCCTCCTCGGAGCCCGCTTCCGAGGCTCCGCCAGGGCTCGGCGTGTCCCGCTCGCTGCCGCTGCCGCCGCTCGCCTCCTTCGGCGGCTCCTCCGCCGGGCCCGGGGCCGCGGCCGGTGCCCGGCCCGCCTCGGGGCCGCCCTTGGCGGCGGGCGGGCGCGGCTTGTGCCAGCGGCGGTGGGAGGCGAGGTTGGCGGGGCAGGAGAAGACCTTGTCGCACTCGGGGCAGCGGTACTCCACCCGGACGATGCGGGAGCAGCGGTGCTGCGCCAGCGCGAAGGGGTCCCCGTACTCCTCCTTGCAGAGCTGGCAGATGAACTCGCCCAGCGGGCGGGCGCAGCCGCCCCGCGCCTTGGCCGGCGCCTCCACCGGGCCCTCCTTGATGCGCAGCCCCAGCACGGGCGAGGTGGTCACCTCGTCCTCGAAGGTCAGCTTGCGGATCGCCTTCGTCTTCTTGCCCGACGGGCCCTTGTGCCGCCCGGGCTCGGCCGCGCCCGGCGGGCGCTTGTTGGGCGGCGGGCGGCCCGAGGCGGGCGGCGCGGCCGGGGCGGGCGGCGCGGGGGCTCCGCCGGGGCCGGGGTGGGCGGCGGGCGGCTCGACGTGGCCGGCGGCGGCCCAGAGCTTGAGCTCGGCCGGGGCGAAGAGGAGCGGGTCCATGGTGCCGGGCACGGCCGGGGCGGGGAAGGACTCGGCCGAGACGGGTGAGCCCAGGCTGAAGCCGCGCTCCAGGTACTTGTCCCTGCTGACGGGCCGCGTGGGGCTGTACAGCGCCTGCACGGCGGCATCGGGCGTCCCGAAGGGCACGGGCGGCGGCGAGTCCCGCGGCGGGGGCGGCGGCGCGGCGGGGCAGGCGGGCGGCGGGGCGGCGCCGGCGGGGAGCGGCGGGCCGGCGGCGGCCTCGCGGCAGCAGCGCACCCGGTAGGACACGGGGGTGGGCCGCCGGCTGCGCTTCACCAGGAAGCCCCGGGGCATCTTGGCGCCGGCTCCGGGCCGGCGGCGGCCGCGGCGAAAGCTCCTCGCTCTGCCCGCGGCGCGGCCGCCGCCGCCTTTAAGCGGGTCGGGGCCATTGTTCGGGCCGGCGGCGGCGGCACCGGCCAATCAGCGGCGGCGGCGGCGGCGCGGCCGCACCTGAGCCCGGCCCGGCACACGCCCGGCCCCGCCCCCGCCCGCCCCGCGCCGCCCGCCCGGCACGCGCGGCCTTTGTGTGCCGCCCCCCGCGCCCGCACCGCCACCGGGAGCGGCACCGGGGGCGCTCCCGCCCGCCTGCCAGCTGGGAACGGCACCGCGCTGCACCGCCCGCCCCCGGCACTGAGCGCCGGCCGCTCCCGGCGGGCGGACCTGCGCGGGGAGCTCGGCGCAGGGGGCGGCGAAAGCGGCGCTTGTGGCGGCGGCGGCACAAGGGGGAGCGGAGCTGCCCGCCGGGGGTGCTGCCCATCTGGGGTGCTGCCTATCGGCGGCAGCAGGTGCCCAACGACGGGTCTAAGCGAGCGGGAGGAATCACGAACGGGCCGTCGGCGCCCGGCCGAGCCCGGCAGCTGCGAGAGCGGAACGAGCCCGCGCTGCTGCGGGGCCGGGGCGGGAACGCCGCAGCCCCGACCGGCGGTACCCGAACCTGTTACGCGAGGCCCGCGGTCCCCGCCGCGCTTTGGGTACGAAGCGCGGCGGGGGACGTGCGGCGGGTCCCCGCGCTCCCGCACGCCACCGTCGGTGTCGAAGCAAACACACCCGGAGCCCCCGAGGATGCGCCCGGCGCCGCGAGGTGCCGGTGCCGCCGGCCCGGCCGCGGCAGGTGCAGCCGCCGCGGGGCGACCCCCGGGCCGCGGCCCCGCTGCCGTGGCCCTTTGTCCGCGGCCGCGCGGGGTACGCGCGGGGGGCCCGGCGCTGTCCCGCAGGTGGCGGGGCCGCGGAGCCGCGGCGGGGCCGGGGGCGCGTGCGGGCGGCGCCCCCCCCGCGGGGCCCTTTGTGGGGGGCGCGGGGCACGCGGGCGGCACGCGAGCGAGCGGGGCCCCCCCGCGCGCGCCTTTGTGCGCGGCATTAGCATAAAGCTGCGCGACCCTCCCGCACAAAGGGAGGGGGCGGGGGGCGCCGGGTCCGCCGCTCCCCCGGACACCCCCCCCTGCGGGCCTGGCCAGGCGGCGGGGGGGTCGTGGGGCCGCCCCGCCCGCCCGGTGGGACAGGCGTGCGGCGGGGCGGGGCGGGCGGCCCGCGGAGCATTAGCATACAGCTGCGGGCCCGCGGGCACGCGCCGCCGCCCCCCCGCCGCGCCGGCACACCGAGAGCCCCTTCCCCGGCGGGGCTGCACACCGAGAGCCCCGTCACCACTGGGGCTGCACACCGAGAGCCCCTTCCCCGGCGGGGCTGCACACCGAGAGCCCCTTGCCCGGCGGGGCTGCACACCGAGAGCCAATTCCCGCGGGGCGGCACACCGAGAGCCCCTTCCCCGGCGGGGCTGCACACCGAGAGCCCCGTCACCACTGGGGCTGCACACCGAGAGCCCCTTCCCCGGCGGGGCTGCACACCGAGAGCCCCTTGCCCGGCGGGGCTGCACACCGAGAGCCCCGTCACCACTGGGGCTGCACACCGAGAGCCCCGTCACCGCTGGGGCTGCACACCGAGCGCCGTGCCCCGCACACCGACCCCCGTTCCCCCGCCGTCTCTCACCTGCCGCGGGCCGGGTCCGCAGGGGTCCGTAGGTGTCGGTCGGGGCGTACATGGGCAGGTGGGCGCGGTGGCGGCGCAGGAAGCGCAGGATGGGCTCCCGCAGGGCGGGCGGGCCGGGGCTGTGCTCGGCGGCGGGGGACTGCACGGGCACCTGCAACACAGAGGCGTCAGAGGCCGAACCGGACTCGGGGCACACACCGGTGATGCGGCGGGGACCAAAAACGTGTCGGGGCCGGGACGCAGTGGGCACTGAGCACGGAGTGGGGCTCGCACTGGTGGCACCGAGTGCACCCTGGGGCCGGTGGTGCTCGGCTGTTTGTTCATCCCTCCCTCCCAAGTGACACGATGCAGATGTAAGGGTTGTGTGGAACCGAACTGCGCGGAGCCCCCGGCTGTCCCGGACATAGACTGTCCGACGGGTTTAGCCAAAGGAATTCCCTACCCCGTGCCCAATTTACTGTGGCTTTTAACCCAGTCTGCAGCCTCAGCTGCGGCCGGAGAAGCTGGACGTTATTCCTGACGGAGGACAAGCGCCTGTTCCGGAAGGTCTGGCGCGGCACGTGTGCCCTCGGCGTGCGGCAGCATCCGACAGCTGATGGAGGTGCAGACCCCGGCCCTGCCATCTGCCTGTTTGCATCGCCGGAGCCGCGCACGGCGGCACAAACACATGGCTGTGCTCCCCGAGGGGTAAACACGCCCTGCGCCAGAGGCCCCGCGAGAGCCCCGCGCAGCGAGGGCGGCCTTGGTGACGGTGTCGGCACAGGCTGAACGCACAGTCCCCGGCCCCGCCGCAACTGGCTTTTCTGTGCAGTTATTGCTTCTACCAGCAAACGTTTCTGTAAATGTTACCGCTATTGCATGACACTGATTTCCAGTTTCTCTGGAAACTGTAACCAGAAATGTCTTGAGTCCTGTGCACTTAAGTTCACAGTTCTTAAACATCTCTTTCAAAGGGGTGTTTTTCCCTCATTTTTACATTTCATCAGTAATTTTTCTGTGTGCTAAAGTGAACTGGAATATGAGCAACAGGAAGCAAAGACAGTCTCTTACTCCATATAGAAATACAGCCAGTCCTAAGGCATTTAAAAGAGATTCCATAAGCACAGGGTACCTAATCTGTATCTGGCAACGTGCCCAGAAGGAACACCCAATGAAAACACATATATGTGATATCTAGTAAATATAGTTAAAATTACCATAAAAAATCCAAATAAAAATCCAACCCCCCTAATTTGCATTCAGATGCAGATACCATCACCTTACATCCATGTGAGCAATCCTGACTCAGAGCTGCTTCCAGTCTGTGCAGGGGGACTGTGTGTGTCAGGACTGCTACCACAAGGACATGGTAAGGCGAGTGAATCCTTAATTTGTAGGGCACCAATTCCCCTCTCTCTGAAGTTGTTCACACTTAGAGCATGCGAAATGCAACTGAATGATGGCAAAAAACCCCACTTCACATCAGGCCCCCCATTCTGCACACAACCTCATTTTGTTTTCTTTTATAGATGTCTTTCAAGAGAATCTAAATTAAACCGCACCAAGGCACTTTCTGGGTCAGGACAACAGGAAGCAAATTGCCTGGAGCCGTTGTGGGAGGAGGCAGAGCCAAGCTTGCGTGTGGCTGCAGCTGGGACACAGCAGCAGGGGCACGGCGGTTTGGGTGAGCCACGGGCCCCACAACCTGCCTTCCTCCTGCCACTCTGCCTCCATCAACACTCGGTTCTGTTCCTTTTCTGCACAGTTAAAAATTGTGAGCACGTACTTAAACCCCACGGCTGCCACCCGGAACCGTGCGGGGTTAAACAAAGGCAAAGGCAGCTCGAGCAGGGGAGGGTAGGCTGGTCCCAGGTAGTGAGGTGGAGGCATAGAGATGAGAACTCAAATTCTGTTTGGGATCAGCCAGAAAGTTCCTGAGGGGGTGGGGGAGGCAGCTCCGGGGGCTGTTGGACACCTGCCATTAACAGCCACAGAGTGCAGTGGCTTTGCAGTTTGGGCAGGCAAAGTTACAGGCTGCTGAGGCTTTGTGCCTCTGTCTATGGTGCTAATGCCAAAGCTATGAACAGCATTAGCAAACGTTTCAATTGCACCCGTATTCAGGACATCCACACACTACTGAAAAAGCCAGTTGCTTTCACTCTGGGTTACAACGAAAAACCTACCCACGGGCTCAGCTGAAGCGGGTGTGGGATGGGCTGTAGTGAGTTCCTGTTAGGGAACACTACTAAACCCAAGGGGACAGCTAGACAAGCCAGCCTCCACATTCTGCTGTGTAGTTGTACTAAATTGCAGGTATAATGCAAAAATGCTGTGAAGGAAAACAAAGCGACTTCAAGTTCTACTGGCAGATTTGAGAATATGCCCAAACAACAAAACTGAACCATGTGCTGTACTTGGTGACCCCCCTCCGTGAGGTACACGGTCTGCTCAGGCTTCCCAGAGGAGAGAGCTAAACAGAAGCATAAAGCTTCAGGAGAAAGATGGGAGAAGAAACCGAAGTGAACAACACTAACAAATTGCCTAAATAATAAAATGCACTCGGCGGTCGTTTTTCTTACCTGTTCCGACATCAGGATTTGGCGCAGCTCCTTCTGGAGATCAATAAACCGATCGTGATAGATGGCCATGGACCAAGGTTCCCTGAAGTAGCTGGGGAAAAAAGAAGAAATTTAGTTATCTTGTGAACCTCTCATTAACCACTAATAAAGTATTTACCTGCTTTTTTGCCTTTATAAATTACAGTTCTGGACCCATCATGATCGTTTGTTCATAAAACGCCTCCTGTAACAGCATGGTCAATCAATTCTTTTAATGGATGTTCCTGATGTACAGCCAGCTTCAGTAATTACATTTAAAGTGGCTTAATTCAGAGCTGTGGCAAGACCCAGTGAAGAATCCTGATTTTATCAGAATTTAAAAGCCTGAAGACCTGTAAAGAACGGTGTCTCCATTATCTGTCCTCATTTGAGAAAAGCAGATTGCAGGATTAACTGAACTGCTGCATAAACAAATTAAATTTGTGTAGACAATGACACAAATGTTGTTCATCATTAAGGTTTCTGGATTAATAAAAGCCAGAAAAACAGGCCACCACAGCGCTGCAATATGTTCTTTGCGCTACTGTGATGAAGCTAAATTGAACGGATTCTAGGAGGAAGCTCTTGTAACTTTTTCTTTCAGTGACAGCATTTACGAGAGCATTCTTCCATGAAAAAGGAGGAAAAGGATGGAGAGGACATGGCTCCATGCAGAACCGCATGGCTGTAAATATAACCAGAGGCAGCCAGATTACAAAGCTGTGATTTATTTCCCTTTATAACGAAAGATAATTTTTACGCGTGTGTAATTCTTGTTAATGCTCGCTGCAGTCAGGAGGTGCCCCGCACTCATCCCTGTAATGACCAAACAGATGTCACCAGGGTCACCCAGGAAGTTGGGAGAGGACATTGGCAACCCTGTGCCCAACACTTGTGCCTCTGGAATGGCAGCAGGGCCCTGGCACTGCCCCAGGAGCACACAAATGCTCTTGTCTGGTCCAGCTGTGTGGTCTCTAAAAGAACATCTGGATAAGGCAACTTAAACGGTGCTACACGAGTTCAATAATTCTATCTACAGAGAACTAACGTGCAGTTCCCTCTCTGCGGATTTTATTTCCTCCCCATCCAGGGGCAGGATTTTCCCCTCCTGCTCTGAACTACACCTCAGCTCTCCTGTGCCATTAACAAGGCTCTGTGTGTCTGGCACAGCTTGGCTGGGTTTTCACGTGCTCGGCCCCTCTCTGTCCCTGCACCCTGTTCCTCTCTGTGTGCCAGGCTGGCCGGGGCTGCCCCTCGGAATCTACAGCAGGGCTCTCTCCCATAGGCATTTTCACTATAAATATTTACGGACACTATTCCAAACACAAGTGCTGCCCAGCCCAGGAGTTACCACTGGCTCATTCGGATATGCAGGTTAGAAAGGATGAGCTCAGCTTTACAGATCTTTATTTCAGTAACTGCACACCTGAAATGTGTGCAGAGACCTAGACAAGAATGCAATATCCCTCAAATATTTAAACCCCCTTTAATTTCAGAAGAAAACCCCCACCCAACACAAACCTTTAACTTACTGTTGATATCAGATAGCAAGGAGAAAGGGGAGTATTATACAAGAATACATTAAGGTAATTAAACACACTATTTTTACTGATATGCCCTGCTAAAAGCCACATTCCACTAGCCAAATGTTTTGTCTTCAAGCTGGTATCTTAATTTTAATTGTAACTCTGAGGAGGTGATTTCCTCTTTCAACTGAGGCATATCTTCCAACTGCCTTACCTCAGTTAAGGTGCTCACCTGTCTCACTGAGGTGTTGCATTAAATGCTTTTTATTAATGTTTCAGGCGTGCTGTGTATTCCTGCTACCATTACCAGTTCCATTCATAACCATGAGTTTAACTGTTCCTGTCAATATTCACAGATTTGGAGCTCAAAACCTGAAATTCATTGCTCAGTTTGGAATATTTAATGCAAATAAAATGCTCTTTTTTAGGGAACAGAGAATGCCTTGTCCATGTTTTCTAGACAGGCTGCCAGAAGGAGCTCCCAGTACCCAACATTTACTCCCATCTCCCTTCATTTCCCTTAACCTGAAGAACTGTACCCTCCAAGAGCAATTTGGAGATTCACCTCACAGAAACAGTTTGCTTTCTTTGCCGGCTCTGCGCTTTCATCTATTTATCTTTTCAGTTCGAATCACCTTTCTCAGGGGGCACATGGTGTTTTTGAGAGAGCAGCTCCACATATGGCTGCTAAAAGGAAGTTTAATAATGAAAACACCCATTTGAATCCAAACCAACAAGTTGACTTTCATTCTGAATTTTATTACCACTTCAGCAGCAGTCCCTCAGGGCGAGCTGGGGAAGGCTCTGAAGTATAATGCTCTTCAGTGTGCGAGATGGAGCTGGCAGGCTCCCAACAGGGGCTCAGAGGCTCCTCCGCTGCATGAGAACGGCATCTGCCACATGTGTTTGCACCCTTCAGTCTTTCATAACCTGCCAGAGCGATCAGGCTAAACGTGTACAAGATGACAATGGTGCCAGGGGCATAACGGGTGTGCAAACATGGTCCCCTCCGAGCAGGGAGCCCTGCTGGAAGCCTTGCCAGCGACGGCAGCGATGGCAGGAAGGCGTCTCTGACAGAGAGGGATGGAACTGGGTCCTCCAGAAGACAACGAGCGACATCCTTCTCGTTGCTAAGGAGCTGGTCTTGCCTCTCATTGACAAACAATATTTAAAGTCCGGTCTGCCTCACTGGTGAGGTGTAGCCTACATTAGATGAGAGGCAAGGAGGAAGGAAATATTTTGTGGTGTCCTGTAAAAAAGGCATAGAATCCTTCCCCTTGCAAAAGATATAAATAAAGTAGACAGAGCTGGGCACTGCTGGCAAGCAAAAATGGAGTGTGTGTGCATGTGGCTGTCCATCCAAGAGCTGCCTATAGTTACTCTCCCTGTCATTTGTAGGAACACACCACATTTGTAGAAGAAGTCACTCCTGTGGAAGCTGGTTCTACGTCCTGGCAGCGAGGACCTGACACTGCCCCGCTGACTGTCAGGTTTGCTGGCACAGGATATACCACCAGCAGCAAGATGCAAAGCCAGAAAGTCTCAAAAACTGAAGGAAAAACCTTCAGAATAACACTCTTGGTTTGTACAGGAACAAAACAAAAAGCAAGGTATAAAGTACAAAAAGAAGATCAGTAATTGCAGTTATTTTAAAATAATTTACAACCCTGTGACAGGGAAGGCCTGGCAGAGGAAGAGGACCAGCTCTGTTAGAGAGCTACTCAGCTCTGGGCTGACACTGACCCCTGAGCAGGGGCACACGCTGCTGCTTCTCCCTGCAGTGAGACCAGGATGAGGTGGCATTTTCCAAGACTCAAAGGGCAGGTGGCACCTTGTGATGGTGCCTTTGAAAAATCCCTCTGCAGACTGGTGTGTCCTTGATTACATATGTGGAGGATGCTGTGCCTCTGGCTGTTCTTCTGCTACTCAGAGCTTTTATGGAAACAACAAACCCAAATTCAACTCCTCACATCCCTGCTACCCCCACTCTTCCAACACACATACACTCAGGGCAAGTTCAGAGACTCAGACAGCCCATGAAGTGGGTTGGATCTGTTTGCAACCCTCATTTAATGTCTCTAAACAATCCTTAATGCAGATCTCTTGAAATCCCATTTGTTTCCTCCCAAAGCTGTCCATGAGGCACCGGTGCCCTGCCCTCCATGCCCTTAAGCCCAGTGTCTCTCTGGTCAGTGCAGTGCCCTCAGCACACATGGCTTTTTAGTAGCCAATATAAGCAGAGTCATTGATCAATTTAAGCTCCTGTTAATCTGTAAGGAGTGGAGAGTCTCCTTTCCTCTCTGGAGCTTCCAACACTTTGTACAACATGGGGAATTTTCAAGCTAGATGTCCATTTTCTTGGGTTTAAATTTCTTTTTTTGAGAGAAAATGTAATGCTCAAAATGCAGAGTTCTCCAGGCTGTACCAGTTACATCTGGAAGATACTGTCCATTTTCAAATCCTCAGACCTCAGGACACACAAAGTTATTCCCTAGCACATTTGGGTCCCTTAATCTTGAATGGCTTTGGTGGATTATGGAAGCAGTCTCTCAGTGGTGCCTTTGGCACACGATGGCAAAAGCTCCCCGGTGCAGGGCCCAGTCAGGCAGAGAAGCTGCTGCTACACAGACCCCAGGAACCAACCCAGGGGGACAAGCACAGAGGGAATGGAAGCTGTTCGCCTGACACAGGCTCAAGTGGAACACAATTATGCCAGGAGTGCCTACACAGAGCAGGGAATTCCACTTCCCAGGAGCAGGGAGAGTAGAGGGATGGGATGCAGCACTATTTTAATTTCCAGGTCATATTGACAATACTTCCCAACCACAGCTTGCAGATCAGCAAAAGTCTTTTCTCCAACACAAGCACCTAAGATGCATTGTTTTGGAGACAACATATGGATGTTTTTGAGACTCTTAATTACAAAGATACGGTGATTCCAGTAAAAGGTACAGAATATTTCCAGATATATTTTGGATAGCCAGACCAGGAATCATCAAGTATTAGTTTAAGGAAAATATAAATAAAACCATTGAGCATTTCCTGCCAATATCATCTGACCAATAATTTTGAAAGACAGCTTTATGTAGGTTTACATAGGTAAAAAGCAGGACCAATTTGTGTAAAATCCCCTAGAGCACCACCTCAGAGTATTGTTCTTCAGCACAAAGGGCATAACATGTCCCCTGGCCTGCAACTTCCTAATGTTTGCCTACAACTGCTGAACAGCCAAGCAGGTGTTGAACCAAGAGCCCTGGTTGTAGCAAGAAGGACCTTCAGCTCTTTGCTCTGCAGTTCTGCTCCCTGAACACCTGTTTGCCCAGGTGCTTTACTCACTCCTGGTAAACAGTCTTATGGACAACAAATCTGTGACTGACTCCACTGGGCAGTTTCACAAAGTGAATCTGCCCAGGAATTCACAGGCTCGAAGGAAATCCTGGAAAGGAAGCCTGTGCTTCTTTACCACTTTGCACAGAACCCACAGCATCTTCTCTTTGGAAGATGACTGGGTTAGAAGCTGTGATTCACAACCCCCTCTTTTCTGGAG